ATCTCTCCTCTCCACCCTCACTCCTCTTAGTACATCTCCCTAGGTTGTGGGCTCTATTTTCTGCCTCTAATTTCCTGAGATGACACCAATGGTGCTGGATGGCCCCATATACAGAGAGCATCACCACATGTGGCCAGAGGTGTCCTTATCATCTTCATCAACTTTTCCCAGCACACCACAAGCCAATGCTGGCTCACAGGATGCCTCTGGTCCCTTTGGGTCATGAAGTCTTGATTTCATTGGGTTGCTGGCCCTATCTCCTTCTGAAATGACCAAGCCTCCTCCTCTTCCACTTACAGCCAATGGAATGTGGAGCACGAATTAATAAGGTGTGTGGTACAAGTGTCACATGTTCCCAAAGCCACGTCCAACTAAGCTACATACATTATTTTCTCCACTTTTGAGATAGTACTGGCCCCCTTTTGGCTTTTTGGGCCTTGGTCCCTTTCTGTTACTTCCCTTCCTAAACACTTACCACGCGCGAGTTGAGGAGACCCATCTCACTAGAAGACGAGTGTCCACTTAAAGTGCCATCAGGCCCATGGTCTGCGTCCTGGGTATGAGCCTCCCTTTTATCATCAGCACTCTGAACCCCACACTTTCCCTCAGACTCCTATCCAAACATGGCTTCTGGCAAAGAAGTTTCCTTTCCCCAACCCAAACATAACTCACAAACTTTAAATATCCATGGACGCTCCAAAGAGCACACAAGTTCATAAAGTTTCAGAGTTTTCTTTAAGAACATTTTGTTTGCTATCAGATGGTCTCAGTTAGTGTGGAAGTGCTAGTAGAGTGAAGAAAGAGCAGCCATAGCCCCATCTTCTGCATGCCTCCATTCCCTGGCAAGAGCCATGACCTTGACAGTACAGGGTGAGCTAGTAGCAGAGAAAGTCTTGCTCCCTCCCCCAGCATCTAGTGCATTTGGAGAGGATGGTCTGTAGTTCGCATGGAGGGAAGCAAACAGAGGTGGTGCTAAGCAACTCTACCAGAGATGTTGATGGGCACAATGTCAGAGTGCGTGGAGCAAGGCTGAAGCCACCGCTTCTCCTCTAGGATGGGCAGAGGGAAGGGGGTATTCCAGGCAACTTGCTTGTCGGCTGTGGTAGACAGGCTCAGGGAGGCCTCAGGGGCCCTCACACCCTGGGTGGTAGTCTCATCCTCGCTCAGCTGCTGTTTTGTAGGCTGTTGGGAAAGAAGGTGATGGGAAGGGTGTACTCCTGACTAGAGATGAGCCATGCCCACAAGGTGGCTGTCTAGGCAGGCTAGTTGGAGGCTTCATCTGGGAGGCAGGAGAACATGGACAGGCTGCCAGGCCAGACACCTACTGTGCAAGACCCTTCTGGGCTGGACCTCAGGGTAGCTCTGCTGGTGAGCAGAGGTGAGCAGCGGTATCCAGTGGATAATGTAAGCAGCTCAAGATCACCTGTTGATGGGTGCAGGGCGAGCTCTGCACTGGCTCTCCCAGGCAGGGGAAGATGCAACTCACCATCAATACAAACTCCAGACGCCTGGCAGACTGGGGCCTTGGGCTGGGAGTGGGCTCAGGGGCCTCATCAGCAGAGCGGAAGGTCTGCCCCAGCAGTCTGGCCTCCGAGTACTGCTCCTCATATTCTTCTGAAAAACAGCACAGTGGATACAAACTCTAGGGGGCCATGGTCAAGTGCTGGGCAGGGGAGGGACCATGAGCCAGGGCTCCTGCTCTAGCTGCCAGGCCTGACTTGCACTATTTCTTTAGGATATTTCCTGGCCTCTGAGCCTCTGGATTCAGAAATGGAAAAATGCCTACTTCCTGGGACTATGAGAGCCAAAGAGAATCAAGAAATTTGAGTTGTGGTGGTTCTGGGACTAAGCCCGTGTGTCTGTGGTCCACACCTTAAGTGCTCAACTTGGAGTAGAGGCTCAGGGTGCAGACACCTTTTTCTACTTTATGCTGCAAGGCCCTCTCTTTAAAGCCCTCCAGTTCTTCAGGTTTTCTGCAACCCTAGCTGGGAAAAGACCTGGGTGAAGCACAAGGAGATTTGTATTGGGAAGTCCAACATGGGGTGCTCCCTTGAATGTCAAGAACTCTTACTCAAGCCTCCAAGGGCCTGGCTTCCTGATCTTAGTTCCACTGCAGGTGGTGACAGGTCCAGGGGAGTGTAGGTGAAGGAGAGGAAAGGGAGGAAGTGGCATAGAAGGAAGGAGAATTTCAGGGGCATCATCAGGGAATAAGAAGGATGCATAAGATTTGAATTGGTTTCATTTAACTGATGAATTCAAAGGAAGAGAAAGATTCCAACGAAATGAAGGAAGTGAGAGTAAGGAATCAACAGGCAGGGCTCCATGCATATTTGAGCAAAGACTTTAAGAATTACAACTTGGAGTCAGGAGGGTCCTCAAAGGTTCTCTGGTCCAACATCCCATTCTGGGCTCAGACTTCCTCCTTAGCAGCCCTTTAACGTGTCTCTTCAGCCTCTGCACACACTTGCAGAGGAGGGAGCAGCCCTCTTCCCAAGGCCGCCGATTCCATCCAAGGACAGTTGGGGCTGTCAGGTGTCAGGAAAGTTTTTCCTTATCTTATGGTGAAATCTGCTTCCCTCTGGGTTCCTCCCCCAGTCCTAACTGTCCACAGAGGCACCACAGAACGCACTGACTCTTTTCCTGCATGGTAGCTCCTCTCTTATCTGAACACAAGGCTCATGGTGTCCCTTGGTATCTTGCTTCTCTAAGGTGAGCACTGCCCTGGCAAGGAGGTGGGGGTTATGGCTGTAGTCCAGTTGGGTGGCCGTGTGCCACTTTCTATTCTCCACCAGTATTAATCTTCGTTGGCATGAATAAACGAGAGCTGATAAGATGATTTTTTCATATTTAACGTTCACTCAAGAAATGTCTATTGAGCACCTCTTGGGGATCCAGCTCTGTGCCAGGTGCTTCTGGAAACCCAAAAGACATGATTCTTTATGCTGAAAAGCTCAGTCTGGCCAGGTGGACAAAATATATACCCAGGACTAGTAGATGAAAGAGTAAATGAATGAACAAATGCAAGGAAAAGCAGTTCAGAACTATAAAAATCCTCTTGAACAGGATGGTACAAAGTGCCTCATATGTGTGCTTATGGAGGGAATGGTGCAAAGTGCAGAACTCATGTGAAAGGTTTTCTTAGAGGAGGCAAGAATAGAACTTTAAAGAAAGTATAATGATTGGAGTGGGGAAGAGGGAGGAGGTCTTCTAGGTTTAGAAAAGAGGTCAGAATGGGATGTGAGGGCTGAAAGGGGGTATGGAGCTTGTGACTTAGCACTGAATTTTTATTTGTATTATTTTATTGAGTTATAACTTACCAACAGTAAAGTGCACAGATTTGTATATGGTTCAGTGAACTTGGATATATGCATGCCCCTTGCAATCTCCACCCAGGTATTTGCAGCTCGTCAATAGTCTCTCTCATAGACCTGAGCTTTAATACTTTTGCCACTTACATTGGATAAATCCGTCTGGTAAATGTGTATTTTTTCATATTGTAAGGTCTTATCAGGGACCACCTTATTTTTTTCATATTAACTTTAATATTGTGCTTAGCTCAGCCCATGTTCCAAAGGACATGTACCAGGAGTTGATGTTGCATCTCATCAGGGTCTCTCCAGCAGCAAGACACTCTTGCTAAGCCCTATTTTTAGTTCTCACAAAACTGCCATGTAGGGAATTGGAATTCCCATTTTAAAGATGACTTATGTGAAGCTCAGAAAGGGTGGATATCTGCATACTGTCACACAGCTAGGTAGGTGTGTGAATAGAATTATATTCTAGCTCTGTTTTCCAAGTCTGTTTTCTCCATCTGCCTAGTGGGTGCAGTCTGACTGCTCAGGCACCCTGACTGGGCTGCTTCTCTGGGTCTGTGGACCCAGTTTTGCATACTATATGCTCAAAGACAGTGGGAATTCGGGGTGAAGTGAGCGCTGGATGCTGTGTACTGGGCTTGCTTTGGTGAAGCAGTAGCTACCCAGAAGATATGTGGACGAGGTTAATGTAAGAGTAGAATGAGTGAAGCCCAGAGGGAGACTCTGCAGGTGCCTTCTTTGTCTTTCGGTGCCAGGATTCCAAAGGCATGGGTGATGTGGCAAGGGAAGGTCTGGGAGGTATGTGGGCCACATTGTGGGAGTCTCTCACCCAGCTATCTTTGGAAATAAATGGTTTGACCATTTGCCCTGTCTCAGTTTCTGTCCTCTTTTCCCCCATGGGCTACTGAGCTAAAAAAAAAAAAAAAAAAAAAAAAAAAAAAAGGTGGTGTTGGTGGTGGTGATTTAGAGTCTGGAAGGTGACAGATGGAAAATGTGTGTTCTGTTTTACAATGGGTTTTAAACTTTTTTTCTCTCTCGCTGGTCCCTGTACTCTTTCTTCAGTGCCTCCCTCCAGCGGCTGCGTATCTGGCCTGTGGGTCCAGACGAAGCCCCACACCCTCTCGGTACCTTGCAACAGGCTCTGGAGATTAAGCTGCGCCTCTCGAAGCAGCTCCTCTACACTCGGGGGCCTGCCTGAGGAGAGGAACACGTTCACTGGCTGTCGCCATGACGACCTCGAGTGGGCAGTCGCTGTTGCATTTTCCCGACTCGAGTTAGCTGCAGCTAGGGAAGGAGAGAGTCAGTGAGAGGCGCAGCCCAGGGTGGGCGAGGCGGCCACTGGGCGCCCATGGCGCCCGAAG